TACTCAAAAAAAAACATTTTTTTTATACTTGAAAAAAAAAACAAAACTGCATTCCAAGATTTTTCAAAATTAGCTTGCCTCACGCGGTAATAGTACCGACTAAAATCTGTCAACTGTAAGTACCTACTTTTATTGCATCAAAATTCCACCCTATATATTAATTTTATCTGTGTTAACATGGTGCTGTATTTTTTGTTTTTTGGTGAATCCTTACTAATATTATAAATCGGAAAGTGAGTTTGTTTGTTTGTTCCGCTTTCACGCCGTAACAACTAAACCGATTGCTTTGAATTTTTGTAGACGTAAAGTTATAAGTCCGGATTAAATAATAGTGTATTTTTTATCGTGGAAAAATTTGATATTCCCGAGGGAAAACAAAAGTATTGGTATAGATGGCGCTGCGTGTATTGGTATATGTCACATAGGCTACTTTTTATCCTTTTGTGACGCGAGCGAAGCCGCGGGTAAAAGCTAGTGTATCATAAAATGCAATCATTAAATTTTATTTTAATCATTAAATTTTAGAAGATGAAGGTTCACCGAATGATGTAGGTGCATTATTGTTTGTCAAATAAAAAAACATCGAATTGATAAAATCCTCCTTTTTTTTGGAAGTCGGCTGAAAACTGAAACACGTGGTATTATTGCTCTTCCTGATAATCAATAGTGCTTAACTTGGAAGTCTTCTCATGCATGAGGATGCGGGTTCGAAACCTACCAACGGCAAGTACCAATGTGACTTTTTCCGAGTTATATGTACCTACTTACTTTCTAAGATCTAGATACCACTGACAAACGGTGATAGAAAACATCGTGAGGAAACCTGGGCTTGTAATTTCTAATTATAAGTTTGTAATCGCCAACCCGCATTGAGCAAGCGTGGTGATTAACCTCAAACCTTCTCCGTGTAAAAAGAGGCTTTGCTCAGCAGTGGACATATATAGACTGTTGATGATGATAAGCAACTTGGAAGTCAACCTCAGACAAATAAATAAGGAAGAAATATATTAACAACAGATTTTGCAATTAAACATTTAATACTAAAATTGGAATTTCTTTAGTAAGTAGGGTGACCATGACTTTCAAGCCTCTTAGGACCAATTTTCAAAAATAGAGGTATAACATTTAATATTTTGACAATTCTTCAACACTAACAACTGTCAAACGTCTGCAATGTGGAGCAATGAGGGAGACGTGTTGTTCTTATGAATAACTTTAATTAAGTGTCTTAATATCTAACTTACACTACTTACTTATAGGGCGAGGTGTCACACACACTACACGTCAATCTGGGAGCACGGGAGTGCCCTTGACAAGTCGCTTTCGCAAGCAATTGCTTGGCGCACGAAGAGTAACACCACGTTTTCCAAATGGCAATTTTCCATCGTCAATGGGTAGCGATTCTGGCGACAGATTGGTGCAATGGTGTCATGGAGCACCTGGTTTTGTACCCATGTGTACCCTTTAACGGCAAAGTCACACAACATTAACTATAATAACAACGAAATCGCAATAGTGCCTGGTGCTAAATAAATGAAAATAAATAAGGAACCTTAGACTTGGCACGACATTGTTATATTTCATCACTTTTTAGACATAACCTAGCAGCTCCATCGAGACTTGGCTAGTTTTTTACAGAATGTTTTTGATGGGATTTTATTCTACAGTTAAGAACTACCTGATGATTAAAAAATGGGTTCTTAAGAAATTAAGCAATTTGACGTAACGTAACACAAAACTCTATAATTAATATCATAAATATGAACGCGTGTATTATTCTGGTTGTATGTATGTATGTACGTTACTTGTTCAAACAACGTCGTTGTTGTTTTTGCCGGCGACGCACCTGTGACTCCTCTGGTGTTGCGGGTGTCCATCAGGTGATCCGTCTGCTCGTTTGCCACCTATTCAATAAAAAAAAGGATTGATTTTAAATTTATTTCACTATTAATAAATGTCTTACCTATGATCTAATTGTAATTAATTCTTTGACTTTGTAGAATAACTATTTTAAAGACTGTCAAACGAAATTAATTATCATGTTTTTGGGGTTACTCACGTAATTATTTGACGAGGAACTCGACTAGTTTCAGTAGCAGCGCAAGAGTCGCCGCGTCGCAGGTCGCGGAATGCTGCTCATGAATGAGCCTCTAGCATGGCTTGAAACTAGTCGAGTTCCTCGTCAAATAATTACGTGTGTAAGCCGAAAAACATGTGGCGGAGAACCTAACGGGTTGCCGGGGCTCCGGTTCGAAGTGCAGGAGAAGGAACGGGGTGGTTTTAGTCAGTAAGAGTCTGTCACTCCCTTCCTTCCAGCTCCAGCCTTTTGCGCTGCGACGCACCATAGGCTTTTTTTTGTGTTTCTAAATTCTTGTTGTGTGTCGTAGCAAAATAAATGGTATTTCTTTCTATCATTCTTTCTTTCTTTCCGCCTCACCCAGGCGGGAGTAATCATTCGATGATTTTCCCCCTTAAAAAGCTGAGTAACATAATAATTAATTTAGTATGTCTCACAAAAGTTATAATATAAAGACTGTCCTACTAATTACTTGAAATAAAGGTGTCAACACACAGATCGGTTCGTTGCTCGTTGCTCGTTCCGGCCGGCAGCGGTCGCGTGTGAACTGACTCTTATTATCTAAATTATGTATACTTGTACATTGGATGCCCTTCCTCTGTGCAATGTTATTAACTTCACGGTTTGTGGGTAAGCAGAGGTCTTAGTGATTTAGTTTACAAGTTTGTTGGGTCGTTTTTTTTTTGAAGTCTTTTTAAACCGTTATAGGATTGTGATGTTAGGTAAAGAAATAGGTAAGACTTTTAAGATGGTTAGTAAGGAAACTGGAGGTAATAGGAGGCCTAATTGCCCCCTCCCCGATTTCCCTAATCTCCGAATCCCCAACAGTTCTCAAATTCCTAAATTCCCAAAAGACCAAAAACGCACTTGTAACGCATCTGGTGTTTTAGGTGTCCATTGCCGGCGCCCGCCGATTGTTTACCGTCAGGTGATCTGTGTATGAGTACAGAGTTACCGGCTTACCCCATAAAAAAACTAACAATAACTAACTTTTTATTGTGTTTACATTTCTACATAAAATTCTACACTCTGTGCTGAGTCACTCCCCATCTCATGTATAGTAAGTATGGATGCCTCAACACACAAAATCCCGGGAGTTTACTGTCGAATCCAATTCCGATCGATCGACATTGATATTGCGAAAATTCATACTCTTGAATTGCAACACTAGCGCCCATTGCATTCGTATTGCGTGGATATTGAATGAACTAAATGGTATTGAGTTTGGCTTTATATTCCGTACTCTGCATGCTATTTTGACAGCTACGATAAGGGTTGGACAGTTTTGACATTAAATAATTATTGAGTTTTTATTGGATTCAAATTGCATTGACATTGTGATTGGTTTCAAACACCCATCCTAGGTGTAACAAATACTTGAAAACCGCATCATAATCGGTGCAGCCAATCATAAAATAATCGCGCACAATAAGTCGGTTAAAAATGCCAAATATATCAAAATATGAAAAAAAAATAAAAATCCTTTTTTTTTGTTACGAATACTTTTTCCTATTTCAACAAAATTTATGCGATTTTTCGTCAAAAAAGTTGGCAACCCTACATGTAATATAGGCGAGTCCATCGACCAAATACCATCATTGAATACAAACTGCGTCACTGCATCGATACCAAAAAACCAGAAACATTTCGGTAACCCGAAAATATAAACTCAAAACCCGGCACACAATCTTGTTTAACCTGTTACAACCGGTGACCTGGAGTTAAGTCATGCACATAATATGCGCCGAGGTGATGCGGTGTTTATTTAACATTTATGAATATAATGAGAAAAGGTCAAGTTAGCTGGAACGATAATTTTAGCTATGACTTGCTAAGTGGTGTCATTTGTCAAAACTATATTATGTGTTTATCATCGTCATCAGAAATTTGTTTCATGCATCATTGCAGGGGTTTTTTTAAGGGGGGGACATCATCGAATGACTGCTCCCGCCTGGGTGAAGCGGGAGGGAGTGTCAGACTCTTGCTGACTAAAAACCACCCGAAACTCTTCAGTTCCTACTCCTGCACTTCAAGCCGGAGCTCCGGTAACCCGTTAAGTTCTCCACGGCTCCGTGTCACTGTAGGGGTGCCAACTAATAATCAACGTATTTTTTAAGGGAGTGTCAGACTCTTATTGACTAAAGACCACTAGTGATTATGCCACAAGCATTAGCCCTATTGGGCCACATCTGTGATAGTCTGATGGCTCTTTCAGGCGCGCGCGGAACCCGACGCGTCATACCGATATGAACGTAAACGGTTACCGGGGCTCCGGGCTCGAAGTGCAGGAGTAGGAATGGGGTGGTTTTTAGTCAGTAAGATTCTGACACACTCTCGCCTCACCCAGGCGGGAGAAGTCATTCGATGATTTAACCTCCGTAAGATAAGAATTAAAAAAGCCCAGTCACTGCGCAAATCTTGCTGACGGATTATCGAGTTTGTTCACTATAAACAAATGAACATAGGTACTATGTCTCCTTTTTATAATAACTTCAAAGTATTAAATAAAAAGAAAGTAAAAGAAAGCAACAAAAATTATACCCTTAATTTAGGCGTCAAAGTATTCGTCCGCATCACTATCACAGGGGAAAGTTCCCAGAAGACTGGCAGCATTGCCACGTTGAATGGCAATGCTTATTTTCTGTCCGAAGAAAAAGCCAGCCCTCTGGTCACGTGTAGAGTCGATTAGCCTACGGGCGATGTCTTTAAACACAGAGTGTGCACTGGGACCCCATGGCCCAAGTGTTTCGACCCCAAACGGCTCAAAACAGTAGTTACCCACTAGATTTGAAAGTATTATAATATAACTCTACTTCGACTCGACCACACAGTCAAACCATTGCAACGGTTTTGTGGGGCTTAGATTATAAAATACTTACCTGTGTGATATAAAGATAAATAAATAAATAAATAATAATAAATCCTCTTTTTGTTTCAGGATCTGAACCGAAGGTGGAATGTTCTCCAGAGGTGATGAAGGTGACTGTACCTATCGACGGAGACAGAAAGGTCACGTATTTGGAACAACTTAAAGGTAAGACTTCGTCCCACTCATTCAGAAGGTTGAAATTATAAGATTCTGCGCCCTTCTGTGCGCGCAATCCCGTTTTCCCCCGTTCCCGTATGATTTTCAGCATTTTTTCTGTCCTAAGAACGTTCTCCTAAAAATAATAAAAACAACAAAAAGAAATCAGCTAAATTGGTCTACCCATTCTCAAGTTATGGTGTGACGACTGGAAATGGGTTTCATTTTTATATACATACTAGCGGACCCAACAGACGTTGTCCTGCATATCCACTTGAATGTATAAACAAAAATTCATTCAAGTTAGTTCAGCTGTTTAGGATATATAACCTAAACATCGACTGCAACGCCAACTGCCGGGCTGATTTGTAAATCTAAACCTTCCCCTTGAACACACACAAAAAATTTCATCGAAATCGGTCCAGTTGTTTTTGAGAAGTTCAGTGACATACACACTCACAGAAGAATCATATATATAAAGATGTATAATGTATATAAGATAAGAAGAATTTATTTAGTGTAATTTTTTTATTTGGACAAGCCCGCCACAACTTCCCAAAACCGCTGCAACTCCTGTAAGCCAGGATCTACAGTAGATACAACCATGAAAACACCGGAACACTGAAGTTCGGCGCGTCTCAGGGACATGAATAAATCCGAAATAAATCCGAAGATATTATTAGAGAAGAAAAAGCTACCGCACCTGTAACCCCTCTGGTATTTCGGGTGTCCACATGTGGCTCTGGTCTTTATTTCTCGGTCAGAGGTTAAGCATTGCCATACAACGTGGCAATACTGTCAGCCTTCTGGGTACTTTCCCTACTGACGTCGATGCGGACGGATTTTTGATACTCTCTGTATATAGTCATTTTTAGTTTTATTTATTTTTTTCGTTAGTTTTAATTTAAGGTTGTACATATTTATTTATTTTCTGTTTTTTATACGTGTATTAAGTAAAGCTTATCTATCATTAAATATTTAGCCCTAGTACCCCCGCCCCAGTCTCCCCAATCCCCGAATCCCCTACAGTCCTCAAATTCCCAATTCCCAAAAGGCCGGTAACGCACTTGTAACGCCTCTGGTGTTCCAGGTATTCATGGGCGACACCGATTGCTTACCATCAGGTGATCCGTGAGCTAGTTTACCGGCGTATGTCATAAAAAAAATTAAACCTTTACTTAATATTCGCCCGTAAAAGATATGAACGAAAGTTTAAAAAATGTAAGAAGGTATGCTTACTACCTGACTTTCTGCTGTCCTCTTTTTCATTATTTCCCACAATATAACTACTTACTACTACCTACCTATGTAAAGTATACTAGCGGCGAAAGTTTTTAACTCATTCGCATAATAATTAACTTTGAACAAAAGACGGCCGCCATTGTTGCTGTAAACACAAGAATTTTGTAAAATTCTTGTTCTATGACTTTTGAACAAGTTTACCGCGTGGTGACGCCTGCGTAGACATTTTGTCACCATCGCTTGTCTTCCCACGGGTGCCGTATGACTGAAAAAAAAAATAACTTAATTGGGTACTTGCCAAATAGTCAAATTCAATACTTTTTTCGAATGGTCAAAAACGACAGTTTTCTATGAATTTTGTACGAGATTGTGTATTGTGACGTCACGTTTTTTTGCGTCAAACAGCATAGTTATTTATTAAATTTTTGCTGGAAAAATACTAAAATTAAGTCGGTCATAAAATCAATCAATGAAAGTGTATTTTTTTTATATTCTATTCTGTATTGTACAGTTCAAATAATTTATTTTTCATTAAGGGAAGTACCCAATTTAAGTAATCTTTATTATTTTACTAGCTTTTACCCGCGGCTTCGCTCGCGTCACAAAAGGATAAAAAGTAGCCTATGTGACATATACCAATACACACAGCGCCATCTATACCAATACTTTTGTTTTCCCACGGGAATATCACATTTTTCCGGGATAAAAAGTACCCTATTATTTAATTTGGACTTCTAACTTTACGTCTGCAAAAACTCATAGCAATCGGTTTAGTAGTTACGCAGTGAAAGCGGAACAAACAAACAAACTCACTTTCAGATTTATAATATTAGTAAGGATATAATTTTTGTCGTAAGCACCGACTGTCAAGCTATGTTATTTATTCATTTATTTATTTATTGCAAAATGTACATACATAGCGGTATTATACTACTAGTACAGTACATCACCCTGTTAGGGCGCAGCAATTCAAAGTCAGTAAATTAAAATCGATTTTTGACATCATGGAGCAGTATGGAGACTGCCTCGTTAGTCGCAAGAGCGACTGCTGGGCAACTGATTCCCGGGTCGAACAAAGTATTAATAAGATTTTTTTTTAAATCAGAAGGTATCGGGATTAAATTTGGAACAGGGATAGATTATATCTTTATAAATTTAATTCTTCTGTAAGTGTGTATGTCACTGAACTTCTCTCAAACGACTGGACCGATTTTAATAAAAAATTTTGTGTGTGTTCAGGGGGATCTGGGAATGATTTAGATTCACAAATCAGCCCGGCAGATGGCGCTGCAGTCTATGTCTTTTTTTTAAGGGGGGAAAATCATCGAATGACTGCTCACGCCTGGGTGAGGCGGGAGGGAGTGTCAGACTATTACTGACTAAAAACCACCCCGTTCCTTCTCCTGCACGTCGAGCCGGAGCCCCGGTTACCCGTTAGGTTCTCCGCTAGGTTACCCAAACAGCTGAACTAATTTGAATGCATTTTTGTTTATACATTCAAGTGGATATGCAGGACAACGTCTGTTGGGTCTGCTAATGGTAATATAAAATAATATTGGAGTGAATCCATAGGTCGTGTCTAGTCTAAAAATAAAGACTTAGGCGTAATAGAATACTGACAATTCAATAGAGAAGTGCAGACAGGCCATATTTCAACGTAGGCTGAATTTAAACTGCCTCCCTGGTCCGCCGCAGGTGTTAAATCGAGGGATCTCGGAACCGATTCCCGGGAACAAATCCCCGGAAACAAAACGTTTTTCAAAGATAATTATCTTCTCATCATCAAATAAATTACCTTAATCACAAATAAATTATTTCGACTGTTCAATACAATAAAATAACACACATAATATGACATCACGCCTTTTATCCCCGAAGGGGTAGGCAGAGGTGCACATTATGCCACTGTACAATGTAACACCCACTTTTCACTATTTACAATAAAATATTAAAAAATAATCACACTTTCATTCATTGGTTTTTTGACTAACTTAATTTTAGTATTTTTATAGCAAATTTTTAAGTAATAACTAAGCTGTTTGACGCTAAACAAACGTCACGTCACAATACACAATCTCGTATAAAATTCATAGAAAACTATCGTTTTTGACAGTTCGAAAAAAGTATTGAATTCGACTAGTTGACAAGTACCAAATTACTTTTAGGTATAAAATAGTACTTGGAATCTGAAATTAGCTGGTGAATTGAAGATTACAGTTGAAAATGTCCTGGATTTTCAGAGAACGCTGATGGACTGTCCTCTTCAAATGTGTAGAGTATTGAGTTTCTTCCTAGTTCTTCTACATAGGAATCTACACCTTGGAATGGGCAACTAGCTTCACTTTTCAATTGTTTTTGTTGACGTTCAAAAGTGCCTTTGACTTTAATCTGTACTCCTTATGTCTTGTTCGCACTGCGTTTGTATTTTAGTCGAGTATCGAATATAGTTAGTAGATCCATCTCGGTTTTGTCCCAAAATCGAAGGTATTAGTGTTATTATCATACCAAATATATTATTATATTTTCGGCTTAATCACGTAATAATTTGAAGAGGAACTCGACTAGTTTCAAGCCATGCTAGAGGCAGTAGCAGCGCGACAGTCGCCGCGTCGGTCGCGGAATGCTGCTCATGAATATGAGCCTCTAGCATGGCTTGAAACTAGTCGAGTTCCTCGTCAAATTATTGCGTGAGTAAGCCGAAAACATAAAAAATTATTTAGTATGTCCCACGAAAGTTACAATCCAAATTATTATCATACCCATTAAAAGAGCAAAAGTAGTGTATTTACTCAACTCCTCAATAACAAAGACGTCATGTTACATTAATACCTGATTTATGAACAAACAAGCGCCCTGACTTTCTTATTAATAAATAATTAATATAAATTATTCATTAATATCTCTCCCAGTGTACTGTCACATATGATATTGTAATGCATTGTTTCGAAGCGAACGTCTGTATTAATTACTCGAGTCTACTGACATCACGACTCCTACGCGACATGTATTATTGATTGAGAGATAATTATAATCTAGTAATATTATAACTGCCTCGTTGGCCGAGTGGTTGCAAGTGCGACTGTCGGGCAAGGGGTCTTCAGTTCGATTCCCGGATCGGACAAAGTTTTATGAGCTTTTTGAAAAAAAATCTCGGTAGTATCGTGATATCGTGGCACGGAGTCTGGAATTGTGCCCGGTATATGGCAATACACTCGCCCCCTTTTACATGGGACTCGACATTTTTATCGACTACAATAAATGGTAATAATGGTTATATTAAATAATGGTTTGTAGGGATGGGGGAGAGGGGCGATAATATTTTTTTTTGCGCCCGGTATATTATGGCAACAGGCTCACCCCCTATTACATGGGACTCATAACATAAATAGTGAAAAGTGGGTGTTGCATTGTACAGTGGCATTAAGTGCCGTAATGTGCACCTCTGCCCCTTCGGTGATAAAAGGGGTGATGTTGTTGTATATTGTAATATTGTTATATTACAAACGTACACAAAATCTATAGCATCCTACTAATATTATAAATGTGAAAGTTCGTATGCTTGTTTGTTTATCTTTCACGTCACAATGGCTAAAAGGATCGGGATGGACATTAACACAGGGGTAGACTATACAAGGTGTTGTTTTAAAGCTGCGTCATTTTCTAGGAGGTAACTCGGCTACCGATTCTGAGTCTGAATCAATAAAAAAAATTGAAGATAAATATTTTTCATTTTTCTGTAAGTGCGAACTACATGCCGCCGTCTTGTAACTAGCTTTATAACGCGGCTTAACACACACAAACTCAAACACGTAATTGATATTATTCCTAATTCCATAAAACTCCAATAAGAAACATTGCTGTCGCTTATTCTGAAATACTGTCGAACTTAAACGATTTATTATAGCCGTATTTTTAACTATTGGTCCGAAATTTTCTCTTACATTGAACCTTTATGACTTCTGTGACATGACCCCGAGAAATGACACGGTTCGGAATAACACATAGGCTATTTTTTACCCCACAGGAACTGGGGCAGGCAAAGCCGCTGACAGAGGCTATTTATATTATAGTTTCTTATAGAAAAGCCATGCTTCGACACAAAAGGGTTAGCTCAACCGGATTGATACCACGGCCTCATAGAAAACTGACGAGACACAACGCTTGCGTTGCGATGTTTGCAGCCATGAGAATGAGATCCCCTATTTCCAAACTCCCATGCCCCAAAAGGCCGGCAACGCTATCATCTCTAGCCTTGCAGGTGTTCATGGGCCCGATTGCTTACCATCAGATGATCTGTCTACTCATTTGCGTCCTATGCCATTGTGGCAACACATAGTACATGTCAACGGATGACGTCACAAAAATCCTACATCGCACATGCAAAGTTTACATGCAAATTAACACGAATAGAAAATCCCAACAAACAACTGTTGGGCAGAAAGCCCGCCAGGCACGATCACCTCGCCTGGTCGGAGGATCCTCCTTTTCCGATCTTAGGGAACTATACACTAAAGTCAAAGTCAAAATCATTAGGCCAGAATGGCACTTTTGAACGTCAACAAAAAAAAATTATTAAAAGTGAAGCTCATTCCAAGGTGTAGATTCCTATGTAGAAGAACGAGCAAGAAACTCCATAGGTTACTCTTTTTCAATCAGGTTCACAATACAATTTACTAGTTACATAGTTTTGCTGTTTGGATTGTGCGAGAACAATGTAACACTAAAATCCAGTAAATTAAAGTGATCAAAAACTCACTCTGTTCCTTAAACCATAAAAAAGAAAACAATGTCGTTTTGCAATTGTTAATTCTCATTTAATTTCTTTACAGAATACAAGCCCTGTCTCCCGGAGATGGATGGGAACACTGCCATGTTCGTCCTGGATCTGCAGGACCATCACAAGTGTGGAGTCACCAGGATACTGCAGACTGGCACGGTGAGTTTCAACAAGTACCCACTTAATACATAAGAATATAAAATAACATCATGCCTTTTATCTCCGAAGGGGTAGGCAGAGGTGCACATTACAACACTTAATGCCACTGTACAATGTAACACCCACTTTTCACTATTTATGTTTATGAATCCCATGTAATAGGGGGTGAGCCTATTGCCATATACCGGACACAATTCTACTGAGAATACATATCATCATAACATCACGCCGTTTATCCCCGAAAGGGTAGGCAGAGGTGTACATTATGCCACTGTACAATGTAACGCCTACTTTTTCACTATTTATGTAGTCACATGTAATAGGGGGTGAGCCTATTGCCATATACCACAATTCCACTCCGTGCTACTACTGAGAATGATTTTAAAAAACCCAGTAATACTATGCCCGACCAGGGAATCGAACCCGAGACCCCTTGCCCGGCAGTCGCCGGCTTGAAAGCTCGAATAAAGACCTGCCCAAGTTCGAAATCTCTGATCCGCCTTCAGCAAATCCGCCTTGAAAGGACGCCTCTATAACAGTGGGACTGTAAGACAGTTACAGTAGGTATAAGTTTAGCATTAGGTGCTTAGGATGTTTACCTTGTCCTTTCTTTAGATAATAGATTAATGATGCCTTCACTAAATGTTTCAGGGCAAACGCTCCTTCTACCGTAATATAGTGATAGAGGACGCTGCCGGCAATGTCGAGATGTTGACGGCTCGCTGCTCGGTCGCCGGCAAACTACGCTACATCTCCAAGAGGGATGTCCCTCCCTTCCCTCTGGACTTCCATGAGCCTGAGTAAGTACCTCATTTATAGATACCTCAGTTATAGGTTATATTATTATATTATTTAAATACTTAATATTAAAATGAAGTAAATCCACAAGTTGAGCTATTAACGATATAAATTAAGAATTAAAGTCATACCTATTATCATTTCCATATATCTATGGATATTTGATACCTACTGATAATTTGATTTTGATTATATTGATTTGATTATAATTATATATTTGATTGACATTGCTCATTTTAATTATTGGACTTAACAATAATTTTATTTACATATTTTATTTTTATTTTAATTTTATTATGACTTTAATTATTTTATTTTGATTGTAACAATTTCATTTTGACTTTTATTGATTAATTTAAATTCGATTATATGTATTTATGTTACATTTTGATTACAAGTTATTCGATGATAAAATGTCAATTTTATATAAAAAAATGTTAACTTCATTCTACCAAATGTTGTTCCCTTATTCACTTTATGGTATGCAAATAAATGAATATGAATATGAATCGTTTAAAACCTAATATTGCTTCTTCCAGTGTCCTGAACATCACAAGATACGAAGAAGGCAAGGCTCCCGAACCTGTTCTAGGCGCTATTGTAAAACAGAATGGAAAACAGTAAGTAATGTGATTTTTGAACACGTTAAACGCCATGGCAGTCACCGGTGAGCCGACATTAGCGGAGGATTTGCCTTCAACAGTTTTTTATTGGCAGCCAATGCCTTAAATATTCTGGTCCTAGCTTACAGAACAAGCTAGATTTCCTCAATCAGACCTAAGATCCCTAGATCTCGTCAAATAATTACGTGAGTAAGCCGAAAAATATAGTAATTAATTTAGTGTGTCCTATGAAAGTTATAATATAAATGCGTTGTTATATTTTCAAACTCAATATGAAATACACCTAACAGATAACGGTTTGCTTGGGTTATGGTCATGCTTGGGTTATAGTGTACCTATATGTTAAGGAAAAATGTTATGATATAATTAAAATTGTTTGTACAACGAGCGTCTCTCGCCATCAAACGTCAAAGTTTGGCGAGTTTAGATATAAGGCCATACCTATGTAAAAGTGAAAGGAATAAATTTGTTTAAATAAAAATAAAAAAGTTACCTGCCCAGTAGTTGAGGTGGTATACCTGTCCTGCCACTTACGGATAGTTTCGACTCTAATTTTCTTTTTGACATAGGACATAGGTACCCTACAGTAGTCTACCGGAGTGTTATTATGTTCTCATGTTTAAGAAGCAAGCTTTCTGATTACGTCAACTGACCTAAAGTTACAGCCACATATTTATACTCTTTGTTCAAATTTCCAGGGTCTCTGGCGAGATTTCGGTGACACCTGGTACACCTCTGACCATGGAAATCTTCCTGAATGAGAAGTCGGCGCCCATCTACGGTCTACTCGTCAACTACATGCATGTCACTGATACAGGGAAACAGCAGGAGACTATTATACTGAATGGGTAAGTTGGTAACGCATCTGTTAGTACTCTGGTGTTCCAGGTATATTATGGGCCATTATATTTTGGTGAACTGATTGCGACTCTGGTAAATCGGATGACCATTGTGCACTGCCTCGTTGGCCGAGTGGTCGCAGGTGCGACTGCCGGGCAAGGGGTCTCGGGTTCGATTCCCGGGTCGGGTCGGGCATTACAGGGTTTTAAAAAAATTCTCAGTGGTAGCACGAAGTCTGGAATTGTGCCCGGTATATGGCAATAGGCTCACCCCCTATCACATGGGACCCATAGCATAAATAGTGAAAAGTGGGTGTTACATTGTACAGTGGCATAATGGGCACCTCTGCCTACCCCTTCGGGGATAAAAGGCGTGATGTTATGTTATGTTATTCATTGTGCACTGTTCGAAGCACAGGGTTTACAGTAACAACAACATCAGTTCATTTTAAGTGTGGGAGAGCCATGCTTCGGCACGAATGGGCCGGCTCGACCGGAATGATACCACGGCCGAGCAGAAAACCGACGTGAAGCAACGCTTGCGTTGTGTTTCGTCGTGTGAGTGAGGTTACCGGAGGCCAAATTACCTTCCCCTTACCCAATCTCCCCAATGCCTGAATCCCCAACGATCCTCAAACTCCTAATCCCCAAAAAGCCGGTGACGCACTTGTAACGCCTCTGGTGTTCCAGGTGTCCATGGGCGACGCCGATTGCTTACTATCAGGTGATCCGTCTGCTCGTTTACAGGCTTGTGCCATAAAAAAAAGGTTTATCTGTCTCACTGTCTTGACTGCACGGTTGGCGCGGTGGCTGGGCAACTGGCGGCCGCGCAACGTGTCGCGGGTTCGATTCCCGCACGGAACAACTCTTTGTGTGATCCACAGATTGTTGTTCCGGGTCTGAGTGTCATGTGTATGTGAACTTGTATGTTTGTAAACGCACCCACGACACAGGAGAAAATCCTAGTGTGGGGCAAGATTAAAAAAAAAAACATGTAAGTAATAAATGTTGTTTAATTTCCAATTCCAGATGTTCAGTAGACACCTACTTGTTTGACAACTTCGTGACGTCAGATGGCGACACCCTGACTGCCAAGTTCAAGGCGTTCAAGTTCCCTGACACTTCGTATGTGCAGTTCAAAGGCACTGTCACCGTGTGCCTCGACAAATGCCAGGGGGTGAGTGTTGGTGTTGAGGCTTGGAAATTGATGGGGTGATCTTAAATTTTAAACAAGCGAAGATAGGTCAAGCTGAGTAAGAGAGGACTTACTCCTTAGTACCTTAGCTATCCGCCAATAACTCCCGTCAAAATCGGTCCAGTCATTCCAGAGATTAGCCAGTAAAAACAGACAGACAGATAGACAAAAATTGATGAAAATGTTATTTTGGTATCTGTATCGTATGTATATTCATATGCATGTAGTAAAAAGCGGTTATTTTAGTATTACAAACAGACACGCCAATTTTATTTATCTGTTTAGATTGCTGCTTATCTGATACTACTTCCGCGCGCTCTGCTCAGCTCTTATTAGTCGTTGCATGATGTTTTATAGCCTATAGCCATCCTCGATAAATGCACTATCCAACACAAAAGAATGATTCAAATCAGACTTGTAGTTACGGAGATTAGCGCGTTCAAACAAAGAAACAAAAAAAACAAACTCTTCCGCTTTATATCTTCTTTCTTCTTAATATATATAAATCTCGTGTCACAATGTTTGTCCTCAATGGACTCCTTAACCACTTAACCGATTATAATAAAATTCGCACACCATGTGCAGTTCGATCCAACTTGAGAGATAGGATAGTTTAAATCTCAAATTATAGTCGCAATTTTAATTTATTGCTAATTATTTATTGCTAGTTATTATTTGACAGTCACAATTATCTGTTAACTCCAAATGATTCTAACAGATGTCGATACCTTTCGACTGGGTTGAGTAAGTAATCAATAGATGGCGCTGCTATGGTTTTTTTTTTAATAGAAGGAGTGATTCTTAAGGAAGGTTTATATGTATAATGCATTATTTAATTCTTCAATTATATTTTCAGGTACAATGCAGTAACGGTCAGATCGCTTACGGCCGGAAAAGACGCTCCATCAGCTCCGGTAGTGACGCTAACAAAGTCTATGAGGTGTCACTCACTACCTTCATCAAGGTCGACTATGAAGACGGACAGAATGCTAACGCAGGTTCGTAGGATTTTTTTTTTATTGCATAACGGTTTGTATATGTCCGTTTAAGGCGCCCTCTACCAACGGCCCCATTCATATTCGCTCTGTATACTTCTTTCTTTCAATGGACGCTCTCAAACTAACCTATTATATTACTTCTTTTTCACAGAAGACGTCCTAGCCCTCCTGAGGAACTTGAAGGTAGCGAACCAGCGTCTAGGAGATATGGATGGAACACCAGCAACCGTAGCAGAGCATACAGCCAAGAATGTTCTAGTGTATCAAGATCCCTTAGTTCTAAGTAAAGCTAGCACACTAACCAGTAGCCTATTACTTCTGATAAGTCTGCTACTCCTATTCAAGTAGAATTGGCAATAATAAAATTATTAAAAAAATTTCGACTACATCTCAAAAGACTAAAACTCCAATTTAGTGATTTCATTTAAAAAAAACGAATGACGTTTAATTGGCGGCGCTTCTAGCGCTGTTAATTTGTTAAACGGTAATATTTCGAACTATTTTTTTTTCGACTACAATTTTAATGTTTTTTATATATTATATATAAATATACATAATTATTACGTACGTATTTGCCAAATAACCAATAAAAAGAAGTACATTTTCTATTTTTATTAATAAATAATTATTGCTCTAATCTAAACCATTCCGTAGATACTAAAACGAAGATAGAATTAAAATAAAGTGATTTTAATTAAAATATAACGTAAGTGTAAGGCAGGCGTAATTAATTTAGTTTAGTTTTTAATGATTTAGTACCAGTGTCAAATGGGCGCACATTATTTATTAAAACAATTAAACGAAAGATCAATTTAATACGCAATTTAATACGCTCTTTACTGAATCAATCTTTATGTTCATCATAAAGATTGATTCAGTAAAGAGACAGTACTTATTTTTATATGCTTTGGAAGTTATGGCGTTTGTAACTCAGTCGGCTTTAGACAACCAATAGTTACTGTCTCTGTACTGCATCAATCTTTGTTTTGTAACCTGCATAACAATTAACTTAGCTGATTGTATTTTCTGCTCAGTGCCCTTAGCCAAACGCCACTTTAGCGCTTGTCTACAGAGAGAGTAGAAAACTAAATGTACGGGGATGACACTGACAAGCGTCAAAATTTACGTCAATTCCATATAATTTGGTTTTCTATTCTACATGTAGACAAGCCCTAAATGGTATTTGGCTACAGCTGCTGGCTCGTTTACTTGACGCCGTACTGTGCCGTACCGCCGTACTTGTAATGTGCACCTCTGCCTACGCCTGCAGGGATAAAAAGCGATATGTTATGTTAATATATGAACGAGCAACAATATCCACAATTACTTTTTTAAAAAATAATGTTTAATGTGCGTTTCATCTCAAGATAATGCAATGCATTAAGTCCACTAGTCTTAAAAATAACTTTTCAATAGTTAGTTTCGGACCAATCAATTATTGTGAATATTAATTCTTTAGTAAACCCTACATTTATTTGTAAGATATATTTTGTCCTTTTCGCTTTTTACCATACGACAAGTGTGGAGAATCACTCCCGAAATCATGTTCTCAGAATATTATTTTTTATCTCTTTTTGTTAATACTTTTAATAGACATTCTATAAAATTATATATTTGTATACCTACTAACTATACACATTGGTACTCAATTTTAGTTATTTTATTTTTTTAAATAATCTGTCATCCGCCATATTTTTGTTTTTACTTTGTCAAAATAGTTTTTATTTTTTTTTTACTTTTTTGGTGCTTGCAACACTCACTGTCACGTTTTGTGATTATGATTTTAACTTAGCTTTCTTAGGACCCTTTTTACAAATATGCCTACTTAATAAAAAAAAAATATGTTAGTAAATTATTGTTTATTAAAGATAATTAGCACACATATCTAATTAAAAGAAATATTTTAAAATCTTCATCATGTTATACAGTAAAACTAGTAAATTCAATATTATTTTTAAATATCCTCAGTTTTGGTACGACTGTGGAATTCTTTGCCAGAGTCTGTGTTTCCTGAGGGGTATAACCTTCAAGGCCCGAGTGAAGGTTGCTTATGGGACGACGTGCTCCATCGTCGACCGCATCATCGCTTACCACCAGGCGAGATAGTGGTCAAACGTCGGCCCATCAAATATAAAAAAATCCGTTCAGTAGTTAAGAATCTGTACCTATTATGAAATTTATTTGCAAAAAGGGCCCTACGCCTAACTTTAAGTTTAGGAATTCGACTAAGAATTAAACAATAAAAAGAAAATATCAAAATTATTTATGCGTTTTATTTTACAATCGAATCCAATTGAATACATTTGTCGCCAACCCTACTCTTCCCGTGGGTGTCATATACCCGACTAAGGAACTACACATTTGACAGAGACCGGGCAGCAGCGCTCTCTGATAAACCTGAACCTTTTATCTGCGGTCTCCAACCTGCCTAACAAGCGAGAGATTATGGAAATCCCATCTTAATCAGGGTGACTTACAACTTGACGTATCCCTCTCATCATCAATCATCAACAGTCTATAAATGCCCACTGCTGAGCAAAGCCTCTTCTCACACGCACACAGTACACGCTTGTTGTATGAAGTTGAAAATAAATAAAATAAATAATAAAACAACAACGACAATAAATAAAATAACCTACTGGTTAAGTGATTCTAGTTTTAGTTGGTTGTCAATACATCAATAAACATTAATTAATACTAATACTGGCAGAAATGTCATTGATTTTAAAATAGGAAGTAGGTAAATTAGTATCAAATTTTGTTTTGATTCACACATTTGGTCAAAAGAAAACTGAATTTATTTTAAAAATATATTATTACATTACACTAAGCGTACAAACTATTAGAAACCTTCCTTGGTTTATTAGCTACCTGTTACGTATCACCCTGATCAACGCCGTGTCACGAAGACCAGGGTGCTTACTCTTGAAACCGATCTCAATGTCAATGCAATTTCAATCCAATAAAATCTCAATAATTATCCAATGTCAAAACTATACAACCCCTACCGTAGCCGCTAAAGTAGCATTTAGAGTACGGAATATAAAACCAAACTCAATACCATTTAGTTCACGAAATATCCACGCAATTCGGATGCAAAAGGCGCTAGTGTTACGTGAATCAGGACATTACACCTAACTACTTTGATGCAACGAAGGTTCTAAGGAGTATTGCAACATGCAAACTGCTGAGTCGTCTCCTCTTGTCTCCTTGTGCCCAGCTACGAATCGCTACATCATCGATCACCCCACTAGATTTAACCTCAATAAAACCTTACGAAATAATGTTTAGATATGAAAGCAGTGTTGTTCCAACTTCGAACGCATTCGCACGTAGGTAGGTAGTTAGGGGTGCGGTGCCAGAAGACCTCCCCGTGGTGCACCCTGGGTGCGGGCGACAGTCTCCCTAGCGGGGGTGATAGGGTTGGAGTGACTGTCGCCCGCAGCAGACTTCTGGACTGGGCGGGCGAACCCGATAGGGTTCTGGAGGCGGCGGGCTGTGTGCTCATGGCCCGCGCTTCCGTGGGGCGTTTCTCCGCCTGTCTCTCTGAACTTAGCAGAGAGCGTGGCGGAGGGGCAAGGGCGGTGCTCGTTGTGCACTCACCCTGCCAGCGAGCAGCATCGGGACACAAGCTGTCCCCGATTGCAGCCGTCGATATCGTAATCCGTAAGGAGGTCACGGTCATGTTTTGTGACTCTGAACGGGACGAGGGTCTTGGCTTGGTCGCCCGGGCCGCGAGGAAGATAACCTCTATAAAAAATTCCTCTAATACTAAGTTCTGGTGCGCGGCGAGAGTATGCATGGCTGAGGAGTAGTGTCAGTCGCGAGCGCACCCCCAGCTAGGGGACCAGTGGAACCTCTAGTTGGGAAACAAATTAACACTTACCCAGGTACAGGGGGCACTGCCTGGGTGGACCGAATATTTCCCCCATACTCGTGGGAACTTTATGGAGAAAGTCAAAACAAACAAAAAACCACATTTGGAGGAGGAGAGTGCGGGTGAGCTTGGCTCGCCTGCAGTAGCAGGAGAAGGGAGCCCAAGTGGCTCCGGGACTCGTGGTGAGGCGCTGGACTCGTCCAGCAGGCCCCACACACGGGAGTCTAGTCGGAGGGGGTCGGACTCAGAGTCCGACACAACATTGGCGGAGCGGCTGAGCGTGAGCTCGAAAGGCTCACGCCGCCGCGCGACGGGGACGTTCAAACGCCCCAGGCTGGAGGAGGACAGTTTGTCCCCGTCCTCCGGCGCTCAGGAGGCGCCTCCCCCCAAGGTCCCCACGGCAGCGCGGGGTAGGGGCGGCAAGGGCAGCGGTCGCCGGAAACCGGCACCAGCTGCCTGCGCGGAGTCAGCCGAGCAGCTGGCCGCGGAGGGCAGGGCTCTCTCAAGCGCTGCCCGTTCGGAGTCCTCTGCGGCCGAGATGTCCGGCGTGGAGATGTCGGAGGGCGAGCGCGGCTCTGAGAGCGAGAGCTGCTCCGGGGGCCTCGAACAGGCCATTACGGCGGAGCTCTACAAGCTGGCGATGGGGAAATCCCAGCCGGTTAGGCTCCGCCTCCTCAAGGCGGCGGCGGCCACCATTACGGAGGCGGCCTTGGAGCAACGTGCGGTGCCCACTGCGGGAAACGTGCGCTCTGAGCTGGCCGAGATGCGGCGAGAGCTGGCGCGCTTGGCGGCCTCTAACGCGGCTCTGGAGGCCGAGCTGCGGACGGCCAGGGCCGAGCTCGCCGCTGCTCGCGGCAGTCGCCCCCAGCCCCCGGCGGAGGCCGACGTAGTCGGACTGCTGCGGGCGGAGATGGCTGCCTTCCAGCGACGTTTCGACGTGCTGGAGGGTAGGCTCTTGCGGCCCCCGCTCGCGACGAGTCAGGTCGCCCCCGCGGTCCCGCGGTCGTACGCGGCCGCTGCGGCCAAGCCTTCGACCTCGGGTCAGGCTAGCCGCAGCTCCCAACCGCCGGCAAAGGCGCGACCGGCTGCCCCAGCGAGGGCCTCGGCGCCCCCGCCGGCGCAGACCCCGGCTGCGCCGACGGCGCCTGCGCCTGCGCCCGCTGGGCGCAAAAAGAGGAGGGGCACTCCGGCCCGGCAGGCTGGGGTTGCGGCGGCGGCGGCGGAACCCGCCCCGCAAGCAGAGGATGGCGGCGGATGGCAAATCGCCGGCGAGGCGAGGAGAGTCGCCAAGGAGGGCCGGAAGCGCCGAAAAAAGGCGCAGCGGCAACGACGGCAGCAGCAGCGCAGGGAGAAACGCGCTGCTGCCCCTCCTCGCCCCTAAGACCGCGGCTGTGGTCATCACCCTACAGCCTGAAGCGGTCAATAGGGGCGTCACATATGGCGACGTCCTCGCCAAATTAAAGGGGGCGGT